GGCGAGCTTTCATCTGATATAAAATTCATTATATCTTCTATTTGAAATTATAGCGATACCTAGACAAAATATTATTTCCAATCTACTGTATGATCACTAATGCTTTTCTTTTGATCATTCATGCCTCCGTATGTTATAATTTCACTGTCAATTTAGAACTGCACATATCATATATTTTTCATTTAAATCTGAAGTTCATTGCAGTTTCATTGAATAGCTCAGTGATTGTTAAAGAGTCAACAAGAAAAGTATCCATAGATCTGTTTCAAAAAACATTTTTCATAGCTATTAGCACATTTCATAATTTCAATTAAAACAATCGCTATCCTTTCATGATTTTACGATAAAAGAAAATGAATACTATGTCCAAGTGATATTCACGATGTTCTCAGATTTGTTAAGTATAGTTTAGGATTTCTGAAAGCCTGAGAATCTAACACAAGCCATTTTACTTTGGTCATCGACCTTACTTGCAGTGTCAGACAGAAGGGATCAATTCATAATAATATATGAGAGCATTGCTAATATACTCGAAGAAAATTGAAGTTTTTCGGTGCCAGTAAGTCATAAAATTTCAGACGAATATTTGTGCAGCCACATCAGGGAGGAATCTTCTTTTTGTTTTTGATGTAAGATTATGAAAAAGATTTTATTCCCAGTCATTGATTTATAGTGCTCGTTTTACGAAAATGATTGATGAACACCACAGACATTACATTTTTGACAACGGTTATTGGAATCGGTGCAGATTTCGTATGTTACTAACTAATGATTGATTATTTATCTCTCACATATATGCTTCCTAGACTTGAAACATAATCAAGAAAAAATGATGACTATCATACAAAAACATGAAAGTCAAATTAATTACTATCAGATGCAACACGACTTGTCTGTTACATTGTTTATTTCGATCCTTCAACAGATTTGATTCCGTATCTACGAAACGATGAAAGGTCTAATGATTTTCAGCGCGACTGAGAGTCCATTGAACAAGCCAACAATTGTTGTGACTATTTGTAATGGATTATTGCGCGATGTAAATATATATATATGTGCCTTGTTCGAGTGTACATTGATTGTAGTATGCATTGTATTGACTATTTTTCTAGAGAATAGATATATATGAATGGATTTACTCGATTGAATTTCGACTTATACAAGATCCGAATATGTTTGATTGAAAAAGCATTCGAATGTAGATTGATAAATGGATGAAATGACGAAGCAGCCCACAAAAATATTTTGAAGAGTAAATTTTAAACAGTATGGATTATAGACAGTATTATTTATATAATTATAAAAACCTATATCATCTTGACATTCATCCTCGATTCCGCAAGAACATGTAGTCGATTTTGATAGCATCCAGCCAAAATCAATTGGCATAGTAGTAGTATTTACAGACTGAGTGCTATCCAATAAAATGTCTTCATATTCTGTAGCATACATAGTTTTTGTGTGTGGTCCAATGAGTGATAGAATACGTGTGAATTCGGCTATTGTATTCTTTTTAAATCGTTCGATTATAATTTCTCTACGAGTTTTGAATTCCAATTCGGACAATACTAGATCGATAGCAAATGAATTTTGACTAAACAAATACTCGAAAGTTCAGAATATGAAAATTCGCACTCGTTGTAGAAATAATCCACACGTTGAATATGAATAAGCTCGAGCACAATGGATGAAATGCAAAAGATAATAAAGTAAATAACTTGTATAGAATATCAATATGAATACATGGAAATTGAATCATACTTTGATATATTGTTGTACAAATGTTCAAATGTCATTCAAGATGAGTTTTGAATAGTAAAAGTTTGAGTTTGATAAGACCGCATTGTATATATAACAATAAAGACCATGGAGACAGAAATGTAAGAAAAATATAGACACAAGTAGATATTTTTGCAGTTTTCAATTCAAAATGATCAGTGCATATAGTAGCTGAGTAGTTGTTCGATAGTGCTCGATCAGGCTAATAGTTAAGAGAGTGATAGATAGTTTTATAGTCTATTACAGGCAATAAAAAAAAGTGCCCTAAGAAACCCTAAAAGGGTTTTCGAGATTTCGTTTCTATGGATCTTTTTGTAATACCACAGAAACGGTACTACTAGTCCTTCTCGAACCTACACCTCACTGAATACTCCTTCAAACCTGAAATGACTCTAGAGATAGCAAATGCATTTAATACATCAAAGTTTACCAACATCTTCAAACATACTCATGATACTGATAAGCTTAATATCAAGAAACAAAATAATAATTGTAAAATATCGAACTGGAGATGAGAAGTTGTTCATTCGATAATGAGCCCAAGAAGGAACTAAAGAAATCAGTAAATTTGTATTTGATGATTCTAGGTTGAGAGTATTCTTCTCTAGATTAAAACCTTGAAATAAATCAAAGGTAGTATTAGTTTTGCCATTTGATATTTGGAATTTATTGATGATACGAGAAATATGTCTGATGGCATCAATGTTTGATTGAATTTAGCTGAAGCGTAAGAAATTTTTTTTTCCAAGGTAATATATCTAACTCAAAGTGTCTATCTCTGCACTCCGAAGAAGAGTTGTGATTAAAAACTTTATTATTGTCGTCTTTTCTTCAGCTTCTATATTCTACTGATATGATATGAATGAATGGATGATGATGGACAATTCTGCATGGAAAAGAATGTTTTCAAATAGTTTTCCTCACTTATATGATCAGTGGTTTATGGGAAAAAACAGATAGACAGAATATTCATCGAGAGAGTTAAAAGTTTTGGAGAAATAGAAAACGTATGACTTGAATGCCATGATATTTTGAAGCCACGTGTAAGAAAGAACCGTTGTTGCGAATGAAAAATGTATAGAAAACGAAGTAGAAGAAAAAGGTTTGAATGTCTTTTTTTTTTTGATAGAAAAATAATTGAAGGAGAGGCACATTCTTGTTGAGAATTTAATCTTTCATTTTCATTCGATTTCACAAGCAAAGTAATGAAAAATTGAGAAGACGAAGACAATTCTAGAAAGAAGATTCTTCACTCTTTTCAGAACTGTATGCAAACATATTGCTTAGATCTTATATGAATGACGATAATCTATCAACATCTTCGCTCAAGATGAAGTTATTTATCTGATTTGATAATCTTTTGTCTTGTTACTCTTTAGAAGTAAATTAGTTATAATGATAATCTGAAAGCAGACGTTTTGTTGAAGTTTTTGCTATAACTTATAGTTAAAACTCGTAATTATTATATCTAATCTTTATTGTATTGAAATTTAATGAAACTAAGCAAGAAAATACATAAATTTTACTCTAATAATAATTATTCGTTCGTAAACTGTTCACATCATACATATTTTCCCTCATATATTCAAGAATAAAAAGATAATATAAGACTATTGCGACAGTATAAAATGACTTCAGCTTGGAAAAAATGTCAATTAGAAAATTTATATGAAATCAAACAACTTAAACTAACTATGAGATCAGTTTCTAGTGAACTAAAAATGTCTTAAACTGAACGAAGTCAAAGATCGAAATCGAAAATTCGAAAATCTGAAACGTACGTCGAAGATGTTTTTAGACACCAAATATGGTGCATGTGTAAAACATTGTGAAGATTTTTAGAATTTCCAGAAATTTTCACAATGTTAAAGCGAAGTCGGACACCGATTTCAGTTCTGTAGTGTACTTTTTTCATACTCATGTTCTTCGAAAACCACAAAGGTATCCTTGCATATCCATCCAAATACCAATTCATCTTTCGTTGCAATATTAGTTTCCCATAATACTCTAATGATATCCGAAAATACGATTGGATTTCTGATATCAAGAAAAAGATATTCCAAAATACGTTAAGGATGTCGAAATCGGTATTTTATGAAACCTGAGAGTTTTCGAGCCCTTGCAAAATCAAGAAGGTATGTTCGAAAACCCTCTTGCAAATCTCTAAAGATTTTCGAATGAATTTCTGAGCCAATTCGAGTTTTCTAGGAGACGGTTTTTATAGAGAATACGGACTCGCGTAGAAAACAGATTAATATGTCATTTGATGGTGATATGAGAGTTAACTCTAGACCGTTTATAGCTATCGCACTCGAGTTTTCATTATTGAAAAGAGCAAACATATGACCATTAAACTATATGGAACTCATAAGATTCAAAGATTTTTGAGTATTGTTTTCAATCGAATATATATTTCGTTGTCTATTTACATGAGTTTTTATAGCAATCTGAGCTCAAATTATACCGAATTGTAGCTATAGAAGTCTTTTATTTTCAAGAAACTTTTCGCAATTTCAAAAAAAAATATCTCTTACAAGTATTAGTTTAATAAAACTATAGAAAGATCTTGATATTTTATCAGAAATATAAAGCTTTTGGGGCAATAATTTCGTATAATTTGCGATCGGATTACTATCAAAAACAATCATAAAAATCTTCTTCAAATCTTATGAGTTCTATATAATTCGATGGGTCTATATTTGCTCGTTTCAATGACGAAAACTCGAACTCGATAGCTATAAGCAATCACAAGTTATTTACAAAATGATGGTGGGTATTATTTAAAAAAAATCCCACAATTGAAATATGAATCACTCGCATAAAGAACAGATAGTAGCAAGGTAAGATAGATGTATTTCATTGATTAGTCACATTTGAATGGAAAAATCGAAAAGTGTCATGTACATTCATTAATAAGCCAACCAAATGTCATTATTGTTTACAATTTAACAAAAGGGAAAAAAAAAAGGTGAATTACATCATTGAGAGAGCGTTTATCATATGGGAAACTTAGTATGTATACATTATTGATATGATACATTGTTGTTAATATATCTGGATTATTCCTCAACCATGGTGCTCGACTATATATAAATATTATCATTGCATTGCTGCAGATGTATTTTAAATTAACAGTATTCAATCAAATAAACAGATAACGTTGAGTAAGAAATATATTGTATACATAACTCAATCGACGATAAACAATCATGCACAAACATATCTTTATTGGATTCTTCATCATTTTCTTAGCATTTATGTTCACTAGTGGTATACCATTGAAACAAGTTAATCACGAAAATGATTCGGAGTTGAATACAAAAGTTCGTCATAATGATTCTCTCGTGAATGAATTGTTACAATCAATCGATATGTTTCGTCGAGATAATGGAGATTTTCCTCGACACTTGAACAAACGCGAAGACTTCACCTCACAACAACGTCAATTTCAAAATGAAATGTTATATGCACATAATTTCTATCGTTCTTATTACTGTGCTCAACCTCTTACACTTGATGATGAACTTAATAGGTCGGCTCAAAGATTTGCTCAAAAACTTGCTGACACAAATCAATTTCAGCATAGTGGAACTCCAGGTGTCGGTGAAAATTTATACTGGGCAAGTGGTATACAAATTAATGGTAAGTCATCTTAAAATCATCAATTATATTTATTATATAAGTTTATTCTAACGTTGTAGGATATAACGCACCCATTGCTTGGTATCAGGAAATTAAAGACTACAATTTCAATAATGGAGGCTTCTCAATGTCTACAGGTCATTTTACACAACTTGTGTGGAGAAATACAAAAAGACTTGGTGTAGGTGTTGCTTATACTAATGGAGGCCAGTCTGTCTACATTGTTGCTCAATATATTCCTCCAGGCAATTATCAAGGTCAATATCAAGAAAATGTTCGTCAACAAGGCAATTGCTGAATTGATTATTCCTATAGATGATCAAGCAATTGAAAGAGGACTTGTGTTTTCATCTATTTATATCTATTTCTTTTTTTTTTGGTAATCTTTAACAAATAAATCATTCTAAATTGATATAATGTGTATTTTCTGCAAATCTAATCTAAATTCTTATACTTTTGTTTTTTCGTATCAGTTCAATATTCTGATCTGTTACGGGTATATTACTTAGATCTCATTCGATTATTTCTATTTGCTCGCTTTCTTAAGTATTTTCTTGTCTTCTATTAATACTACATCTACACTTGTTTACTTGGTTATTGTTATTGTTGGATAGTTCATATTAGAGACAACATAGAGAAGGATATGAGGATGTGGGTCTCAATATGAGTGTTTAGTGTTCTCCATGTCCACATCTGTATACGTAGGAACAGTCACACTCACATTGCACACCCACGAAAGCTTTAAAATTTCTGACATTTCTAATATCTCTAAAAACTTTTAATTTGTACTTTTTGTGTGGCGATTGATCTGATGGAAATTGTAGTATTCTATTTTTATCGCTTATAAAAGAAAAATTAATCCTGAACAAGTATTTTTGAGTAAAATTACCTAATTATAAATAGCAATTATGAAAGTCTATTTTTTTAATGGAAAAATATTTCGACATTCTCTTATTGTCATTATGATTTTATTGACACGGAACGTGACTACTTTTGATTATCGCATAAACAGATTTGATAGTCTTAATAAAAATTTTTCGTCTTCTTCTTGAGTCATATTTTACACGGTAGAAATTATTGTTGGTGTAAGTTGTTATTTTTTCTTTTGAATTTTCGTCATATAAAATATTTATTTTTAACATAATTTTCAAGGATGCAACACATTCAGTACAATAAGGAAGCAGTTCTTATATTACAAGGAAATGTTAATCTGTACTCTTAGATCAACAATATCTGTCACAGTCTGTGACAAAAGTCTCAATGGACCGGATCGAAACGAAGAAAATTGATTCGTGATTTTTTTCTCTTAGAATATATGGCCTATCCACAGATCACTCATCTAATTGTATTGAATAAATTATTAACATATGAATGAGCAAACATATTTTGAGTAAAGTAATTGATGTAGAAGCAAATGTTCGGTAAAATGTTTTTGATAATTTCATTTTTAATAACAGCATATGTCGATGACACTTATTTCAAAACAAATTCGATCCATACAGATGTATACTACTTTGTATATGATGATGAACTAATACTAGTACTTGCAAAAAGTGTTAACAGATATTGATGATTAAGAAGGTTCAGTTAGAAATAGAATTAGAATTAGAAAAAGTAATTGATTATGATGTTGTAATAAGTGATGAACTAGGAGAGCTAAACAAAAACATTTTGTTGAATATAAAGAAAGTTTTTTAGGGTGATAATAATATTATCTTTTATTGTTCATTGCAGAACTATTTTAGCTAATGGAAGAATTACATGGAATTTAAAAAAAAAAAAAAGAAAACTGAGTTGAAAAACGCAATATCTTTTGAAAATTTTATATTTTATTAAAATCTCAGTCGATTGAGTTCTCTAGTCTGTGATATGGAGAAGGAAGAAGAAGTGTTGCTAAGATATCTGTAATAGTCTCTGACTAGCGGTTGTCACCTTCCGCGGAGTAGAGAAAGAGAAGTCTAAATTTTTATTCCTATACTTTAACACTCCTTTTAAATCATATTTCTCAAGAAAACAATTCATAACACACAAAAAAAAGCGAAAGTGATGGAGCTATTTTATATTAATTTGACAATACTGAAGAATATCACAAAAGACATAAATTCTATGCTATTTCAAAGTTCAAGGCCTATTGATATGATAGATGTAATACATTTAACTACATACTTTATGTATTTAATATAAATAGTTTAACCAATTTTAAACAATTAAATTCTTGTAAATATCGTCATAATTGTCCTTTGCAATATGAAAATCTAGCAGAACATAATGAAAAATATTCACATCCTTATCGTTGGTCAGAACTTTATCGTGATTGAGATAGAAATAATGAACATGCAAATTAATTTACACATATTGTACATCATACAATTGTATATAAATATAGTAGTAAAGAATGTAATAAATTAAACAAATCTAGAACATTGTCGTATTTATAGACATGAAAGTCTATCTGATTTTCTTATACCATGTAAATATAAAAATCAATGTAGAGTTCGATCAATAGAACATTTTTTTTTAAAATTCTATCAAAAAATTCATAGTAAGTAAACGAAATTATTATGAATTACATAAATTTACATATTTTGTCTAATTAAATGTAAAATTAGAGATAATTAGTAATACCAATTAAACAGAATTTATTCAACAAGCTTGTAAATATAGTAATGAATGTTGTCATCAATTTGATTCAAATCATTGTATTTGTTATTTTCATTCAACATCAACTTTATCAATTCAATTATTATTGTATCAGATACATATGATCATATTTAATCATGTATTCGATAGTTTAAATATCAAATATATAACTTTTAATTAAAACCATATATTAACTTATCCATTTCGTAATAATCAAACAGTTCATATAAATTATACATCAACATTTCCTATTGAAGCAGTCAAAACGGATATGACAACAAGTAGATATTGATCGTCATATTGTTATAATTGATTGAGTAGCAGAAAATGTTCTTCGAGCGGCATTTTCTGATTTTTGTTAAACATAATGAATAATCAACAACAGATGATATACAAGTAGTTGAACTTAATCATTCATTAGTTAATAGTTTTCTATTTACATCAAAACATGCTCAAATCTCAATAATGATTAGAAGGTAGTTCACATTCAATTGAAATTGTGAATAGAAGTGCAGTATGTGTATTAATTCATTTAGAAATATTAGAAAAAAAAATCAATCTGATTCTATTCTTATTACATTTAATTGTGGTAAAGGTAAATATTTTTATTGACAACGTTCTGAAATTCATGATGTTTGTTATCAAATGTAAACTGAACAATTTACAATAGATATAAAAGTATCAATAACTACTACAAATCTTGTTATAAATCAAGATCAATGTTTAAACTATGCTCAAATTCAATCATCATCAATATCAGCACAATTCATTTATAATCAAATTGCAAATTGTTTAAATTCAACGAATTAATTTGATTTTGTTTTTTTTATTATAATCTAAAATAAACTTTTTTTTTTAATTTTTTTTTTCTTATTAATAAATAATTATTTTTGAGTATATATATATGTTGTATTTTATGAGGTTTGACTTAATGTTATACTAAGAATATCATTTTCATTATTTTATTTTCCATTAGATTTATAATTAAGTTCAGTATTAATTGAATTTGATCGTTGTTCTTGTAATTTAAATAATTTTTTATGACTATATATTAAACTAGCAATAATTATAACATTAACAATACATAAATCAATAATTAACCAAATTTTTAAAGGACTATTTTCTTTTTTGTATTTGACTATTTATTGAATTTCTATCTATGATTATTTCACAAAAATCATCTTTTGTTAATAAATTATATAAACATTGATTGTCTATAGATGATCTACCATTTTGACATGAATTATTTGTATCATGACAATCTTGTTCGTAATATATATAATTCTATTAATTAATAATAAAAAAATATAGAAATTTATACGACAAAATGTGCCTTGATAACCAGTTTTTATACAATTACATGTAAAATTATCTCGCTTTCGACTGCTTTATATTGTCGATCATTCATACTTAGAAAAAATGATTTGGGGAATACTGAAAGTTGTAACGAAGATACTTTAATTCCTTATAAAAATCTTACATAAACTTTGTATCTATATGAATTGATAGTAAAAGTAAAGTTCTATTACATGATTCTATCATTAATATGATAATAATAAAATTTCGATAAGAGTTATTTGATGTAATAAATATATGATGGTAAACATCAAATCATATCTGTCTTCGATGTGTACTCAATGCCGGTTGTTTTAGCAGAACCATCGATTCAAATCGTTTACTCTCTTTATAGCAATTTTCAATTAGTTTTTCTATTAATTTTGGCTTTGTCTGTCGTAAAAAATATGGATTTCATCCCTCCTCCTCCTCCTTCAAAAAGACAATTTCTACAGGTTTTATCTTTCGACTGATAAATAATTTTGTGACGTCATCTATACAAGACAATTACACCAGTGGTGGAGTCTGGATTATGGGCTAACGAGGGCTCAACTCTTCCCACTCTGATGAGATTTTCGAAGAAAAAAGCACATTTTCCTAAAATCTCGCTAGGAGATCCTAAGCATCCTCTGGCTCTACCACAGAATCAAACTCGTAAATTAAGCGTGAAAACGTTCGATGTGACTATTATAGGCTGCTTCAGTACGCTCATAATTATTAAGAAGCGAGAGTCCGATTCAAATCTCTCATCTTTCTAAGAGTTAAAGAAAAAATTAATAGTCGACATATACGAAAAACTTAAGCAAAATAATCGCGATTTTCGCAACATGAGTATCTTTTTCTTGATTTTTCTCTTAGTTGTTCTCCTTTCTTTTTTTTTTCTTTTTATTCTATTTCATCTGTGATACCTAACAGTCTCTAACAAGAGACTATATAAACAAATGCAATTACATGTGGATCATCAAGATAATTATTTCGAACATTTGATGAAATAAACATTTCATCAACTTGTTTCTATTGGCTCTATTTCTTGTCTACTCTAATTGAAGACAAATATGATTTGACGTCATTGTCATATATCATAAGGAAACAAACGTGTGAGATACGTAGCTTCTTTTTTTTATTATAAAGAATTAAAGCATTTCTGCCAGGGTGTGGGTGTTATTCTTCTCTTTAATCATACCCACACTCACACCCTAGGACGCGCTTGATTCAAACCGCGACCAGCACTTTAGTATAACATGTTTTAAAACCATTTCGGTTGTTTTTTGGATCAGTACAGAACTTAGTATAGGTAGTACATTCGAAAACAACGGTATTTTGGTGAAAAAGAGTACAGCACCATAGAACAATTTATCATGTATAGATCAGTCTGCTGTTTCCTTTTTAACAACGTTCACGATATACTAGGTTTTTGCTGAAGAGAAATTCTTGCAGAAGTGTTGCCTCCTACTCAAATTTCCTGCAAATCTGCGTAAGAAAAGTTAAGTTTTTTTTAAAGATGTTTCGAAGAAGCATGTATTCGTAAAAAGACGTCTTGGATTTCATGGCAAATTAGCGAAGATCCACATAAACAATGCGTTCTATTCGTACTCTGTCACGTCACTAACGCCAAATAAACTCATTTTATTTAAAAATCTAAACATATTCTGGGAAAATGTTAGATAGATATTTTGTAGCTTCAAGAGCCGTCTGCAACATGTACTATTTAGTTTTCGAAAATGGTATTTTAATTCGCAGATTTTTCAAACTAAAATGCTTGCAGTGGAAGATGATGTCCTTTTTTGAGTCACATCACTAACGCTAGTTTTTTAATCATGACTCTGACAAACAAGGATTCCTAGGACTGTTTTTTTCAGGGTATCTAGAACAACGTAACATACGTACATCATATAAAAAATCAGTTCTAGATAAGCTTATTGTCAAGAGATATATGCATTTTAATTTTGCGAAGTCACGTCGCTAACAAATGATTTTGCCCATATACACATCTATCGACTCTTGACTAATCCAAACCGTAAAGAGAATAAGTAAAGGACAATAAGTAAAGACTTCGAATGACAGACGTCATCCTCTAACAAATTCATTCTTTGTTTTTCATGCGTATACATTAGTTCCGAGTGCATGTCCTCAAATAACACATAAAAACCATTACTTCAACCGACATAACAATCATTGTCGAAGATGTTTTACCAATTTATTCCAGTCGTCGAATTTTTCTGGATGTTTTCCCGATATAAAGTAAATTTTTTCACAACATTTGAGTTCTAGAACTTTCACTTCATTTTCAATTTTTTGACGCAATTGTTGTTGTTCTTCATCATCAACTAGGTCAAACTTATTGAACACGATTGTATATCGCAAATTTAATTGATCCAAAAATCGAGCAAGTTTTGTGATATCTTTAACTGTTGATGTAATGACTAATAATCGTTTTTCCACGCTTTTCAAATCACAAATTGATTCTGGCGTCATATACGTTTTTTCATCATTTTTACCACTAAAACA